CAAAAGCACGGAAATAAGTGCCAGGAATGGTGCTAGTTCTCTTTAGAATGTCAACCACAAAATGCAATATTCAATATTATATTTAAAACTACTCCACTGGTGTCATGGTACAGCTGCACACAGAGAGGCATCCCTTCAGTCTGCTGTACTCAGCTATTAACAGCAAAGAAAAATAATAAAATACTGAGCCAACTAAAGAGGAAAATACATTTTGATTTGATTCATTTTAATTCAAGAAGGGGGAAAAAAACAAAGACTGTCCTCCTGAATTTATTTTTAAATTTGACAAGCAAGAGCAGGGAATAAAAAAAAAAAAAATGTAAAAAGGCTGAAGAAGGTGGAAACATGGTAAGCTGTAAAACCCCAAGACTACCAGCAGAAGTAAAAAGACAAAATAATTTTAACTGTTAGTTCAGTGACCTATATTGTGTATATTATTTGAAAGCAACTTAGGATCTTAGACTACAAGGCTAGAGAAACTTCAGTTACAGCTACCAATTTTTCAAGATCTAACACTGAGTACTCTTAGATTTGGCCAAACTATTGTTGATTTCTGGCAACCACAACCATTCAGGCCAGGCACTGCTGAGTAGATATGCTGTAGTAGGTATGCAGGAAGTGTGAATTCAAAAATTCTGCATTAAAAATCCTGACCTATTCCTGCTCTCGAAGCTGAGAGAGGAAATCCTCAGCTGTCAGCCAGCTCTGCAAACCAAACTTCTGCAGGCGATGGTCACAGACCCAAAGGATCCCTCCTTTAGGCAGTAGAGGGCAGCACAGTCACGAATTCTCAACACTACCAGCTGCAGACATCCACATCGAGGAGCTGTGTTGAGATTTTGGGGGCTTACCTTCTCTAGTGGACAGTGTGTGCTGTCCCTGAGGAAAGGCAGCAAGTTTGGGCGATCATACTCGGCATAAAGACTGATCTGTTTCTCATGATACCGTTGGCCTTTATGGTGGTCTCTTTTGAAAAGCTTGTGCAAATACTAGGAAGCAAAAAAGAGAATTAGAACTCAAAAAACACTTGCACAATATAATTCATTCTCCACTAAAAAAAAATCCTCCAAACTTCCCCAGGAAAATGCTAACACATACTAAAAGGCACAGGAATTAAATCCTAATACAAAAGATTAACTTTATATTTTTCTGAATTATCTTTATCACAGCAATCTCTGAAACCAGCTCTGCAGAACAGGTTTTCAGCAACACTTAAGTAAATGTCTTTTAACCCTGAAGGAAACTACTGGATTTTGAATTTTATGGAAAACTTTGGAGGAAATATTTCTATTATCCAGATGGGCTTAACCATTACAGGTAACCATAGATCAAATTCTTACTATGTGAAATGTTTTAACCACAGCACCTTGAAGTATATATACTGTGGCAAAACTCCTTCCTCCCTAGATGAGCAGAGAAAAGCCTTGAGGGTCACTTTTATTCAAAGGGAAGTGGGTTTCACACTTAGAAACTGATGCATCCCTTCCACAAACTGACAGCCAGTCAGTCACCTTCACAAAGCTCTTGGGCTGTGGACTGCACACTTCATAGAGCTGCTTCCTATAATCAGATGTCTAACACACAGAGCCTGAGCCCCACCTGTACACAGCAGCAAGTTAAGATTCCCTTCCTACAGCCCAACCCCATGGCCACATATTCCCTATTCCACTGAGGTGCTTTTGGAATAACAATGTGGAGCCACAGCCCTAGAGTGATACTGGAATTCTGCACAAACAGGAACAATTCTGCAGCATATGGAAGTTAACAGCTCTGGAAAGAGAGGCAGCTCACTGTCTCTATGGATTAGGAGAATGTGCTTTAGAGTTGCACCCAGCACCCAACCCTATTTTTGTGTAGGGGAA